TCCCTTTATTCATCAGTGGAATTAACCACCAACTATTCCAGCAAGTTTTACACAGCGGATGCCCTTCCAGCTGCAACCCAGTGCTGGGAAACACCCATACACTCTCATTCACCCACACACACACACACTACGAACAATTCAGTTCATCAATTCCCCTATAGCGCATGTGTTTGGACTCATGGGGGAAACCGGAGCACCCGGAGGAAACCCACGCCAACACGGAGAGAACATTCAAACTCCACATTGAAATGCCAACTGACCCAGCCGGGACTCAAACCAGCGACCTGCTTACCACTGAGCTACCGTGCAGCCCTCTAAGGAAAACTAGATGGGATGTTATTAATTCATTCATTTTCTTTTCGGCTTAGTCCCTTTATTAATCTGGGGTTGCCACAGTGGAATGAACCGCCAACTTATCCAGCATGTTTTACACAGCAGATGCCCTTCCAGCCGCAATCCATCACGAGATATTATTTATATTATAGTAGATATTAATATATCAATTAAAAATGATAACTCTCTCTCGCTCTTTTCTTTGGGTCTGTTTCTTCTCCTTTGTTCGACAGGTTCTCAGCTCTTCATGTGAAGAGTTCATTGAAAAGCGGCTTTGAAGTTGTAGAAATATCTAATGACGGAGGCCGAGAAACACCTTTAGAAGGTGAATTTCATGAAGAAAATGATGATAAGCATCCTCTAAACAGTGGTGGATTTAGGCATGGGCAGTATGGGCGATCGCCCAGCGCGGCATCTTGCTAGGGGCGGCATGGGGAGATGGTGCAAAAATAGTGCCCCGGTAAAAGCTTTAAGATGAGATTTACTTTATGCAAGTGTATTAATTTAGAGTGGTAATCTCAGAATACAAATGTTAGGACACATTTGGCATCTATTGCACAGGCAAGTTTGTTATTCCTTATGTGCAACCGAAACAACTCTGGTGAAAACAAATTGACACATGTGCACAGAAAGCCATACACGCGCTGCTCCTGATCCCGGTTGTTCACATGCAAGTCGACAAAACCACAGTCTATATCATATGATGATGATGTTACTTTGACTAAAGACGGCTTTGAAGCAGAAAGGAGGAATAATCAGTCAGGAAGGTAACTAAGACTTTATAACTTTAAATACCTGCCATGAGTCGGGTCTAAGACAACAGATAATTACAGCAATTATTATTATTCCATAGAACTGTCATTATTAATATTCAATCAAAAGTCTTTAAATATTACTCCAGTTGTGTCTTTACATGGTTTTTCAGTTTCATTTAGGATTTATTTCTGTTATTTATTTAGAATAATAATTATATAATAATAATAATAATAATAATAATAATAATAATGTTATTTTTTTAGAATAGTAATTGTTAATAACAACAACAACAATAACAATACTTTAGAATAATAATTGTACAATAATAATAATTAGTATGACAACAATATGAATAATAATAATAATAATAATAATAATGATAATAATAATAATAATCAATGTTGTCCATTTAGAATAATATTTGTACAATAATAATAATATAATATAATATAATATAATATAATATAATATAATATAATATAATATAATATAATATAATATAATAATAATAAAAATAATGATAATAATAATAATAATACTGTTGTTTATTTAGAATAATTGTGTAAAAACAATAATAATAATAAAAATAATAATGATAATATTATTAATAGTAATAATAATAATAATGTTATTCATTTAGAATAACACCTGTATAATAATAATAATTTTGATAATATTAATAATAATATTATTAATGATAACAATAACAATAACAATAATAATAATAATAATAATGATGATGATGATGATGATGATAATAATAATAATTACTACTAATAATAGTAATAATAATAATACTAATAATATTGATAAAAAATAATAATGATGATGATGATAATAATAATAATAACAATAATAACAATAATAATAATAATAATAATAATAATAATAATAATAATAATAATAATAATAATAATAATAATAAACAAATTGTTCTATTTATTGAAAACAAATAAATATTACAATGTATTTAAAATAATCCTTTTAAATGTATATATTTAAATTGAAAATATATATAAAATAAAAGTCAACCCCCTAGTGTGCTTATTTCTTGGGGGATGAAGAGGGGGTATGTTTGGGTTGGCTTCGCCCAGCGTAACATTTAAACTAAAACCTCCACTGCCTCTAATACAAAAACACACATGAATATATATTTCAATCCATTTACACACACGTTCTTGAAAACATCTTTAATTTGGCTACTTTTATTTGAGCATGGTCATTTCCAAGAGAAATTACAAATTAAAAAGTCCATAATACTCTTACAAAGACATTTCAGGAAAGATTGGTGTGTATGTGTGTGTGTGTGTATGTGTACGTGTGTTTCAGTCATGATATCATACATTGGATTTCAACTGTCCTTTACTCCACTTCAGGAAAATAACAATAAAATCAAATTAAAGAAACAGATGAGAGTGGATCTGTTCTTTGTTTTCAGCTGAAAATACAGTGTTCTCACAATATCGTATCAAAAGTTCCCCAATATTTAGATTTCTTTTGTGGAATTTCCAGTCGCTGGAAAATAAATGAACAGAATAAACGCACGAAAAACAAAACAAAACTTGCATTTTTCACAATTAATGTCTCAAAACACAATAAATGCTCTCATTTATCAACTCCAGGTTCCGTTTTTACTAAAATAGATCTATTTTATTGAAGAACTATAATACTGTACTGTACAGTATGAAATAAATAAAATCAGGAGGTACAAAAATGGGCCACATAAATAAGACGTCATTTTAAAACCTACAAAAACGAAAAAGGATGCGATTCTGCGGTTTGGTGTGGTAATACTGAGAACGGAATTGCACAAAAGGTCGTCGTAAACTAAAGAGCTGCTGCTGTGCGGACGGAGAGAACAAACGTGCAGAGCGTCCGATTGGCCGAGAGAAAGAGAGAGAAAGAGGAGAACTCCTCCGTATCTGAAGACGGTTGGCACTTTAGAAACGCACTGATTACGGCTTTGCATATAAGGCAACAACCTTCGTCCTCTCTCCAAACAGTCTCTTTAAACCAACGCAATACTGTTACGATCCTTCACGTGGATTAGGTGACGAGGCCTAAAAGAGTGTGTGGCGAACGCTTTAAATACTGATCCGCGGTTTTTTAAACACTGTATAAATATACATCAGCAAATAATTTCAGTACTCTCGTAGTGATTATAGAAGCAGAGTGCAATTTCTTTTTTCTTTTTTTGTACAAGTTACTAGTTTGTGCTATAAATACTATGGAACACATGATTTTTTTAAGGATGGTAGCACCACACATATTTTAGGCCTTAATACTGTACACATTTTTTTTTTTATAACTTCATTTAGTTTTTTTTTCTTCTTCCCCTTCTTCATTTTTGCATAATGCAGAATGTCCCGCAGAATAGAGCAGTCAAAGGTATCGACTTTGGTAATGATCGGTACAATCATCCATTTCCCACTGATATCTGAGCACTGTTGAGTGCATTCTTAAAGGGACAGTTCACCTCAAAACTAAAAAATTTAGCTTACCCAATTCCCCTATGGCGCATGTGTTTGAGGGGAGAACATGCAATCTCCACATTGAAACTGGCCCAGATGGGACTCGAACCAGCGACCTTCTTGCTGTGAGGCCACAGTGCTAACCACTGAGCTACCGTGCCGCCCTCTGTTGAAAACTAAATAAGATATTATTTGCAATATATTAGATATTAATAAATTAGATATTAAAAACCTGTAACCATTGACTTCCAAAGCACTTCTTTCCTACACTCTCAGAAATAAAGGTACGCGAGCTGTCATGGGGGTTTTCCTTTTCAGAGTACTTGAAGGGTCTATAATGGTATCTCAAAAGTATATATTAGTGCCTAAACATTTTAAGAGGAACACTTTTGTACTTTTTAGGTACTAATATGCACCCTTGAGGTATTAATATGGACCTTTTAGACCCACATTTGTACCTTTTGAAAAGGTACGACGGCAGTGACAGCTCTCTTACCTTTATTTCTGAGAGTGGACTGTGGAAGTCAGGTTTTCAGCTATCCTTCAATATCTTATATCTTACTCATAAAGGTTTATAACCACTTGGGGGTGAGTAAACAGTGAGTAAATGTGTATTTTTGCGTGAACTATCCCTTAAAACACAGCTCGTTGGTCATTGTGTTCAGGAGCTCAACAGAAATGTCTGTGATTGGCTGTGAAGAGCATCACTTTACCACTATGAGCAATTCGCAGATCGACTGATCAATGCGGCTTTGAATGGCTTCAGTGTTCTTACATCTGTGGCTGTGTCTCAATCAGTACCCTAGCCTAACCCTAGGTTGGTAGAAAATGTGCATGAATTCAGGCACTAGTAAGGGCACTGATGAGCTTGGTGCACTATACAATGGGACACACTGAGTGTGACCTGAGATCGTCCTCATTGTACAACATCAAAACTGAAATTCATAAGACACAGCAGAAGTAATCAATAACGTAAATTAATTTTAATGTTATTATTGATATATATATATATATATATATATAGCGCGATATAGACTGATATATATATATACATATATAATAAAAGGTGGGCTTTATTTGCCATCTAGCGATCGCTGATTGGATCCTGTACTAGAAGGCGGGCTTTATTTGTCATATAGCGATCGCTGATTGGATCCTGTACTAGAAGGCGGGCTTTATTTGTCATATAGCGATCGCTGATTGGCTCCTGTACTAGAAGGTGAACTTTTTTTAGCCAAATAGCGATCGCTGATTGGATCCTGTAATAAAAGGCGGGCTTTATATGCCATATAGCGATCGCTGATTGGCTCCTGTACTAGAAGGCAGGCTTTATATGCCACATAGCGATCGCTGATTGGCTCCTGTACTAGAAGGCGGGCTTTATTTGCCATAGCGATCGCTGATTGGCTCCTGTACTAGAAGGCGGGCTTTATTTTCCATTTAGCGATCGCTGATTGGCTCCTGTACTAGAAGGCAGGCTTTATATGCCATATAGCGATCGCTGATTGGCTCCTGTAATAAAAGGCGGGCTTTATATGCCATATAGCGATCGCTGATTGGCTCCTGTACTAGAAGGCGGGCTTTATATGTCATATAGCGATCGCTGATTGGCTCCTGTACTAGAAGGCAGGCTTTATATGCCATATAGCGATCGCTGATTGGCTCCTGTACTAAAAGGTGGGCTTTATTTGTCATCTAGTGATCGCTGATTGGATCCTGTACTAGAAGGCGGGGCTTCATACGCCATCTTGACAGTGACACTTTTCCCCATTCAAAAGTATATGAGTGACATGTCCTGTGTATAGTATTTGGCTCACCTAACCCCCACCCTAACCCTACAGTGACGTCACTAGCTCCATTGAGTGAATTGTGTCTGACGTTGCAGAGAGATGCAGTCTCAGCCTGTAGGCTGTAGGCTGTAGGCTACATCCAGATACTGTTAGACATTTAAGTGCACTAGAAGAATTTTGCTATTGAGCTGCTGACGCTCTGATCAGTGCACTAGTGAACAAGAGTACTGATTGAGATGCACCCTGCATGTGTTTGCACATGGTGACAGGTGGTAAAGCGATGATCATCGTAGCCAATCACAGTCATTTCTGTTGAGCATGTGAACACAGCGGTGTTTGCTGATGAAACTTTTTTTAAGCACTGCTGAAGGGCAACTTTAGGAAATGATGACGTCATAAATAGACAACTAGGTCAAACCAAATTAGGTCAAAGGGTTGCAGATACAATACTGAAAAAGGAAAGTATGACAATATTGCCATGCAACATTGCTCGAAATGTTGTCTTCTGCATAAGAGCGCACGAGAAACACTCAAACATCAGCAAGAAATGAACATCTAAAACATTTCAGTACCGATTGTTACGGAAATCAATACTTTTGGCATCCCTCCGACAGAACAAGCGCTACACCCCGTCCTCCATTGCATCCTCATGGTCCGATTTGGACTCCGATTTGGAGCTTTCGTCCATGGAGTGCTCTCCATTTTCCTCCTCGTCCCTCATAGTGTCACCGTCCGTGCTTTTGTTCTCGCTCTCGTCCTCCTCCTCCTCGAAGTCGTGCTCTCTGCGGCTCATTTTGACGAACGCTCCCTCCACCTCCTGGAGCCGCTCCCGAATGCTTCCGTTCAGGGCGTCCCGCAGGATGGGCTCCCGCTCCGGGTGCTCCGGGTATCCGGCGGGACCGATGCCCTGTAGGTACGCCCGGTTCAGCAGCATCTCCGTGGGCTCCAGGTGTCCCTTTTCTCGGGCCTCCCGTTCTGCCGCCTCGCGCTCCTCTGCCTCCCGCTTGCAGTATGAGTATCTGTGGTTCATGTGCTGAGAGTACGAGCCCGAGTGTGAGAAGCGCTTCCCGCATTTATCACACTGGTAGGGCTTCTCCCCGGAGTGCAGGCGGCTGTGTTCGATTAGGTGGTGTTTGTGTTTGAACGCTTTCTTGCAGATCTGACACTGGTGCGGCCGCTTACCTGCGCAAACACACAACGACAGAGCGAACACTGTGAGTGAGTGAACTATTTACACACACACACACACACACACACACTTGTAGAGCAGTCTTTATGAGGACTTGCTATAGACGTAAAGCTTTTTATACCGTACAGACTTTATATTCTGTTCATAAACTATATAATAATATGACCTAAAGTCCAAAACCCAATCCTCACTGGAAACTATATGCACTTTAACATTGTCTAAATACGTCATTCTGTGTAAATTATGAGCTGTTTTCCTATTGGAGACCTAAAAATGTCCCCACAAGGTGAAAAATTACTGGTATTGCTATACTTGTGGGGACATTTTGGTCTCCATGATGTGATGAACACAAGATACACATACATACAGACTCACTCACACACACACACACACACACACAAGTCTGGTTTGTCATCCTCGTGGGGACCTTCTGTAGCTGTAATTGGGAAATAGATTTATTAAACAGATTTTTTTATTAAAATAATATTTTAGTCACAGAACAACTTTTGAAATTGAAATATAATACATTTAATTTCATGCAAAATATTGCAAAAAAAAATTAAACTACAAAATTTAAACAAAATTGTATGTATTTTTTTTCTCTTGATTTCTGCCATTTTTGAAAATGTTAATATTTTTCCCTAACATGCAAATTTGGGCTACTAATTTTTGAACCATTATCGTAATTATTTTGTTAGATTAGCTTCGGATTTTGCTTCAGTACTGACTAAAATAATGCATATGCACAAATATAATATTGTAAAGCGTCCTATAGAAAATATTTAATGATTTAACAAAAGACTTGAACATTACTTTCCTTATAAAGTAACTTTCTAAGTGTATTCTAAGTGTAAATTTTAATATATAACTAATATTTTATGCTTCTACTGTACTCACTGCACATTCTGTGCAAGCCTCACAGAAAATATTCAGCATTTATACATGTTCAAAATACTTGAAATGCAATTAAACATATTTAAATACTTGAACATGTCCCCATGAGTCTGTGTGCATTTAAGTTTAAGTCCCCACAGGGATATAAAAACAATGTGCATGCACAAACACCCACACACACAAGCACTCAAAACAAAACAAACATCAGAGATGAAAAAGAAGGTAAAATGATGGAGTACAGTGGAGTGTTTGCAGTCTGTGTATTTACTCTATAACATTCCCTCACAGAAGTGAAGCGTGAAGCCGCTCCGCTACAACACTGACACATAAATAAACCATCGCAAACCAAACAAACACACAGAGCTGGAGCAGGAACAAACAAACAGACTCAAATCCAACGGCAGTTTCCTGCTGCGCGACACTCTCTCTCTCTCTCTGTTTTTCCTTTTCATTTTTTAGTTTAACGCTGCGTTACGCATGAGGTGAAGTGACATGATCTGACGTCACCAGGAAAGACCCTGAGCCAGACATGAGAAGAAGAAGAAGAGGAGAGAAATGAAGAGAAGAGAAGAGAAATAAAGAAAACAAGTGAGAAGAAAAGAGACAAAGAGAAGTGAAATAAAGATAAAGAGAAGGAGAAGGGAGAAGAAGAGAAGAGAAGAAGAGGAGGGAAGAGAAGAGGCGAGAAGAGACGAGGTGAAAAGAAAAGAGAAGAGACGAGACAAGATGAAGAGAAGAGATTAGACGAGATGAGAAGAGAAGAGGAGAGAAGAGACAAAATAGACTAGAGGAGAAGAGAAAAGGAGAGAAGAGAAGAGACAAAAAGAGACTCGAAAAGAAGAGAAAAGGAGAGAAGAGAAGAGACTGGAAGAGAAGAGAAGAGAAGAGAAGAGAAGAGGAGAAAAGAGAAGAGAAGAGAAGAGAAGAGAAGAGAAGAGAAGAGAAGAGAAGAGAAGAGAAGAGAAGAGAAGAGAAGAGAAGAGACAAAAAGAGACTGGAAGAGAAGAGAAGAGAAGAGAAGAGAAGAGAAGAGAAGAGAAGAGAAGAGAAGAGAAGAGAAGAGACAAAAAGAGACTGGAAGAGAAGAGAAGAGAAGAGACAAAAAGAGACTGGAAGAGAAGAGAAGAGAAGAGAAGAGAAGAGAAGAGAAGAGAAGAGAAGAGAAGAGAAGAGAAGAGAAGAGAAGAGAAGAGAAGAGAAGAGAAGAAAAGAGAAGAGATGAGATGAGATGAGATAAGAGTAGATGAGACAAGGAGAGAATAGATGAAGAGAAAAGTAGAGAAGAGACAAAGAGAAATGAAATAACAATGAAGAGAAGAAGAGAAGAGAAAAGAAAAGAAAAAGAGTAGAGAAGAGACAAGAGACGAGAAGAGACAAGACAAGATGAGAAATGTGAAGAGACGAGATGAGAAGAGAAAAGAGGAGAAAATAGACAAAAAGAGACTAGAAAAGACAAGATGAGAAGAAAAAGAGGAGAGAAGAGAAGAGACAAAAGGAGACTGGAAGAGAAGAGAAAAGACAAGAGACAAGAAACAAAGAGAAGAGATTAGAGTAGATGAGATGAAACAAGGAGAGAAAAGACGAGAAGAGGAGACGAGATGAGATGAGAAAAGACAAGGAGAGAATAGACAAGAAGAAAAAAGAAAAGAAGAGAAGAAATGAGAACCGATGAGAAGAAAAGAGAGAAGAGAAGAGATTAGAGTAGATGAGATGAGACAAGGAGAGAATAGACGAGAAGAAAAGAGAAAAGAAGAGAAGAAAAATGAAATGAAGATAAAAAAGAGAAGAGAAAAGAAAAGAAAAGAGATGAGACGATATGAGGATAGAAGAGACAAGACAAGAAGAAAAGAGTTGAGACGAGACGATATGAGAGGAAATTAAAATAATATAAAAAGAGCAGAAAGGAGAAGAAAAGCAAAATGAAGAAAAGAAAAATTAAGATTAAAAAAGAAGAGAAGAAATATTGAAAAAGTAAAGGACAAAAAGAAGAAATGAGAAGAGAAGAGAATTATAGAGAAAAGAAATGAAGAGAAGAAAAGACGGGAAAAAAGAAGAAAGGGGAAGAGAAATGAAAAGAGAAAAGAAATCAAGAAAAGAAAAATTAAGAGGAAAAAGAAGGAGAAGTAAAGAAAACAGAAGAGAAAAATGAGAAGAGAACAGAAATAAAGAAGAAAAAAGACAAAAAAGCAGAGAGAAAATGACTGAAATAAAACCTGAAATTAAATTAAAATAGAAGAGAGAAAATATAATATAATATAATATAATATAATACAATATAATATAATATAATATAATATAATATAATATAATATAATATAATATAATATAATATAATATAATTTAATATAATATAATACAATACAATACAATATAATATAATACAATATAATATAATTTAATATAATATAATATAATATAATATAATATAATATAATATAATATAATATAATATAATATAATATAATTTAATATAATATAATATAATATAATATAATATAATATAATATAATTTAATATAATATAATACAATACAATACAATATAATATAATATAATATAATTTAATATAATATAATATAATATAATATAATATAATATAATATAATATAATATAATATAATTTAATATAATATA